CCATACGGCATCAAAAAATTGAGGTTTAGGCGGAAATTTTGACGCTTCGAAAAAAATTTTATCTTTAAAAATAAAATGCGCAGGCGGGTGGCTGATTTGAGAAAGAATGCCCCATATATATATGTAAATCAACACAAGATGGCCGGGCTTCCTTTTACCAACCCACTAACAACTAAAAACCATTACTTCGATCTGAAAACGCCATCTATGGACACAACACACGAGTTTTCAACTTTCCACGTAAAGCAAGGTCCCATAGCTCCCTCCATGCTTACGAGGTATGAAACTAGATCTATGATAGTACTTCATATAAATTTTCGATTTTTCACGCAAAATCCACCCCACATCTCTCCCTGCAGCTTACGATGTGAAATGAGATCTATTCTTTTTCTTCTTATTTGAACAATTCCTGTCTCCAAATTTGGGAGGAGACAATACGGTCAAAAACAAGATCTATAATTGTAGAGGAAATCCAGGCAAAGCTGACACTCGTCATTACTCGTAAACTATATGTTGGCAAGAACTGAAACGAACATAACCTCACTCGTCTATTACCTATCTGTCGCAAACAATTGAATTATTAGGAGAAACACTGTTTATCGATGCGGAGAATCCAAAAACGACGATAAACTTTCAATATTTCAAGGTGTTTTTCTCCATGAAATTACACTTGCCTAGGATTGTTTGTAATTATTATATTGTGTTTTTAAAGTGCATGTGTTTGTCTTGATTTACCATAAATCATAAAATAGTTGCTACTGACTTTTGATTTTATTTTGATTGCTTTTCAAAAAGTCTATGCTGGGCAAAATGAACCGGGCAAAGTAGACCAGGCAAAGCGAATCCAATTTGCTGGTCACCTATTTGTTTTGCCTGTCACCTATCGTTTGCACTATTATTTCTGTCTGTTACATTTTTCATTCTTTATTATTATAGATGTAATCAGTAATTGTAAAAGAAAAGGCTAATCAAGGCCAATGAAATGAAAAAGCAACTTGCCATTAGAAAATGCAAATCTGGAAATTCTGGGTGAAGAAAACACCCAGAAAACATATAGTGAACTTAAAACATATATGTATTAATCTTTTAATTTATTCATTAACTTGTTAATGGCGCATAAATGCACTGTGCCTATCAATGTTCACTTTGTCCTATCTCCCTATCCGCTTTACTCGGGGATTAGGGCAAAGCGAATAGTTTTGCCTATATATCCATTTTATCATATTAATGTTTTAAAACTATCAAATGTTTAAAAGTTCTGTTTATTATATTTTAAACTATAATAAAGTACATACAATTAAAATTAGCACATTATTTCTTGTATCTATCAACCAATAGTTTTTTTAAAGCTCTTTAAATTTTGGGGTATCCACTTTGCCCGAGTTTCTCCTAGAAACTTGCCCGTGTTTCACATAGATTTTCAAACACATAATCTTTACTGTTCGTAATATACCTCCTAAACCAAATGCCGTTTCCCACTTAATATAAAACTTTAACTTATTATATTTCCTAAGCCAATGCCGTTCTCTACTTAATTTTTGTAAGAAATTATTCAGAACACTCTTCCCTGTAACATATCTAAAGGGCAATAATATCGATGAAATGTAATTAAAACTACACATTTACCTAAAAATGTTCTTAATATAAACAAAAATACAATAAAATAATAGAATATTATTACTTTAAAATATGATTAAACTTTATATCAATCTGCTTATTTGAACATTTCAATTTATATAAAAATAAATCAGTTGATATTACTTAATATATAAATATATCAGTTATATATAGGTAATATTTAAATATAATTTTCAAACAAGAGAGAGAGAGAAAATAATGAACAATATGTTCTGTTAAATATTAAATATTAAATATTTAAAAAATATTTTGTTTATTTTTATATCAGAGATTACAATTATTTTAAATTAAAGCTTAAAGAGTATTGATACATTTAAAAAGAATTAGAAGTATCGAATTTGAATTGTCGTACTATAGTAGGGGAGGCCGAGAGGCTAAATGTGGATTTACTCGAGCGCCGTGGGGACCTATTGGATTGTGAAGATTAGATGCTAAAAAGAAAAAAAGGTTCTATGATGTATGCCGTTTCAGTGGTGGGGGGAGCGTGTACAGGCTTTACGGCGTGTACAGTACTCGAGCGTGTCAGATATTAATAGTGTAAGCGACCCATGTGTTTCTGATAACGGATAAATATTAATCTAACGGTTTGCGTGGTGGGGTTAGCTGTAGGAAGGGGTCAAAAAATCTTTTTTTTGCAACTTTGTGACTCTCCCATTTCCTTACGTCACGCTGAAATCGTCAGATTATTGAAATGTACACTTTTCTACATGTAATTAACACACCATACCTTAATCTGACGCGCTCGAGTTAGATACTAATTTGACGAGCTCCCCTGGACCCCCGGCTCTATATAGAGATTTAATATGTGGTGGGGATACTTATTAGGGTGCAAGCTTTCCCCCTTTATGTTATTCTGACGCGCTCGAGTAAATCCCTAAATCCCCGCTTGGCCTCCCCTACTACTAGAAGTATCGAGTGACCATGTCTACTTTTATTAAGGGGATGCTAGAGCTTCCTGTATTACCGATAAAACTAGCATTTTTGATGTTTTTATTCCTGTCAAATTTCTTCGTAGTAGTTTCACAGAATAAAAATTTCTTTTCCACAATTAAAATGTATATGCTAATATATGCAATATACTTGTCGCTGGTGTATTTCGTGTTCAAAGCTAGAAAAAATATTTTAAAAATTACAGATTTCTTTATTCATTTTACCTTTAGCATTGATCGGCATACTGAGACAGAAACACTACAAAGAAATCCAACAAGAACAAAAACGTTAAAAACTAGTTTTATCGGTAATACAGGCGGCTCCAGTATCCTCTTAATATCATATTTATTATTATTATCATGTCTATTTTTCATTAATATTATATTTCTTATGTAAAAAAAAATAAAAATCTGAAATATTTTAACTTATCAATAACACAGGCCTGCATAGTTTTGTTGATTGGGATTTAACTATGTTTTCTTACGTAATTTTTCGCGCTGAATCCGAATCCGGCTGCAGAATTGCTCTATCACGTCGAGATTTCGAGA